TAATGGGAAGTTTTGTTCCTTTGTTAATTAATGAAAGTTACAGCAGAGAATTATTATTTTTTATTCCAAGCCCCTTTCTTCTTGTTTAATGAGCTCACTGATCCTGCTGAAGGAGACCTAAACCTTGAGATTCTTATTTTTTTTTTAAAGGAATTGGAACTACTAAATTTTTAATCAGTGCTATTTCCATGACAAACTTTCTGACCTCAAGCCAACAGATGCAGGGAGCGCAAATGTTCTTTGTGTAACTAGAAAGGAAACCTGATACAAATACCTTCCATTTCGTGGGAGTGATCCACTTCACAGACCATGGCTCTCGACAGTCCACTGCAGTTGCTGACATACCCGCGAGGCCTGAGAGCAGCCACAATGAGGTGCCATGGACTTTGAGAGGGGACAAGTGGGTAAAACTGTATTGATTTTGTAACATAAGGCAGGAGACTAGATTATCGTAATTACACTGGGCCTCTGAAAAATATATGAAGAAGCTGTAAAATGAAATTTCAGGAAGGTTAGTAATCACTCGGGGAATGAGCCAGAAGAAAATCAAATGCTGTGTAGTCTTGTTGGCTACTCTGGGTATTCAGCCATGCAAATGATTTCTCAGACATGAAACTTTTTTGCTTCTGTTATGGGAGTCCTTGACATCGCCAATAGTTTTCAGAGGCCCCCTCTACAGAATAGTACCTCATAAGGGCCACATTAGTAATCACTTTAACCTGACATGCCTTTTATTTTTTAAAAAGGGAACTACTGTATATAGGTGGGAAAGTGGAAACAAGTTAAGCGATGCACCCCTTTAATGTCAACAGCCAACCCCATCGTCTTCTGCTGTCTGAATAATATTCTTGCACAACTTCATTCAGTATGGTCCTCCCTTCTGTAAAGAAAAGTGGGCAGTGCTCTTCTGAACAGAGAATGAACATTGCAGTTGCATAAGTCAAGCTGTCCTTATGTGGAGAGAAAGAAAATCAAACTCACTCAGATGAGAAATCTATAGATAAAGATGATGGTGATATACAACACAAGCTTTAGGTCAGGCATGGCCAAACTCCAGCTGTTTTGGGACTACAATTCCCATCATCCCTGACCACTGGTCCTGTTAGATAGGGATCATGGGAGTTGTGGTCCAAAAACAGCTAGAGGGCCAAGTTTGTTTAAGAAGCGTGGGGTGCAGCCTTCCCAAGATTGAGCCCCCAAAACTGAGAGATATGTATGTGTCTGGTCCCAGCGGTGTTGTGAGGGTGAAATGGCAGTGGAGAACTATGTTTGCCACCTTGCAGGAACTATGGTACATAAAGAGTAGTAAATAAATAAATAACTTGTTATTCTCAGTGAATCAGGGCCTCACTCCTGATATGTATATTGGGGCAGGAGATGCCACAGAGCTTAGCAGCATTGAGAAATAAGGAAGATGGTGGTGGAAACAGTGACTGCAGCTGCTTACCCCAGCACTATAAAGGAAAGCACTGGGCCCGACCAG